GTAGATCGAATGACCTTTGGCCTGTCTCACGCATTTTGATGAGGGGAGGAAGAAGGTCTGTGACGTTCCAGTGACAGTGCACACGGGTTGTTTGGAGACATGCACCGATATGATAAATCCGCGCGGAACACCAAAAGTTTATGCTCATTCCGTGTTTCGTTCTGAAGGTATTTTGCTTGGTTGCCGCAAGCCGACTGGCAAACCAGACTTACAGCTTCCGACGTCTGCATTTATAAAACTTATATCCGCCACCGTGCCCTGTGCACGTTGAGCCGTGGAATCTAGTAAGGGACACCTCGCGTCCATCTGCACGCATCGACCCCCCCCCCGAAGCCACGATCCCTCATGATAAGCTATGGAACTGCGCTGCCGAGGCCACGACCCCTTGCAATACGCAATGGAGATGCGTCCCGAGCTTACAAGACGGCCCATGCAAGCAACCAAGGACACCACGATGGCCAAAGATGGCTTGAAGATGGCCCAAGATGGCCCCCAAGCGGCCAAAGATGCCTCCGAGGGCCTAGAACGACGATAAGAGGACCTCCAACAGGGTCCGAAGAAACAAAGCTCAATGATGCCTTATTGGTTGTTCATTGCTGTTCGTAGTCTCGCCTCTTCGGGCTTCCGTCAGCTCAAGACGGCCCAACAAGCCTCCACAACCACGATGGCCCCAAGATGGCCCAAGAGGCCCCCACGAGGGCTCAAGATGCCCCCCAGGGGGTCCAGAGGTGGCCCAAAAACACATCCAACACGGCCCCAAGACGGCCCAAGAGGGCTGCCCGTGGGACCCACGACGGCCCCTAGAAACCCACCATACGGCCAGGAGGTCCCCAATTCAAGAGGGCCCCGCGACGGTCCAAGACCCCCAAGACTGCCCCACAGGAGGCCCAAACAGCCCCAAGTGGGCCGAACGGGTTCCATGAAAACTGCTCAAAGTATGTAAAAGAAAGGTGTCCCATGGGACGGCCTTCCTCGTCTTCCTCCTGCTCCTCCTCCCCCTTTTCCTTTTCCTCCTCCTCCTCCTCCTCCTCCTCCTTCTCCTCCTCCTCCTCCTCCTCCTCCTCCTCCTCCCCCTCCTTCCCCCTCGTCAGCATCATCAGCATCAGCATCAGCATTATGATGGTCACCACCACCACCATCACCATCACCATCTCCATCGCCATCGCCATCGTCATCCCCACCACCGTCGTACACATTCGAATGTTCGCCCGCGTCGCCACCGTCCTCCTCATCACAAGCATCACCATCACCATCGCCAAAATCAGCATCAGCATCATCATCATCAACATTCTTTCCATCATCACACTCCTTATCACCCAAATTATCGGTACCCCTCGGCCTTCCATGCGAACCGAAGGGTCTCCTGGGGCCAGGGAACATCTTGATGATGTGACCGTCGTCGTTGTGTCCTTGCTGTCGCCGCCCGAGAGGAAACGCCTAGGAGGGACTCATGTGTCTCACCAGGGTTCGCGGCGCCTAGGACGGTTTGAGCAGGAAGTGTTCATACCACGCACCCGGAGCTGCACGTGTACGCAAGAATGCACACAAGCACATATAACCACACAGTTCTGCATCTTCCAGCTATGAGGTGCACGCGCCAGTCTGCGCATTGACTCACACCGAGGCCTGCGACATTGCTGCAACAAGATCCAGTCGGTCAAATCTCGGCTGTCATAAGTGCGGGGGCGCCAGGTGCTTTCCAAGTTCAAGCCTAGGACCGCCTCGGGCCCTCGCATGTGTCATCCCTGCTCGCTTGTTTCGTCCAGGCCACCTCAGCCTGGCGGGCACTCTCCTGGCCTCCGCACGGCTCTGCTTCTTTCTGCCCACTCGGGCGTGTCCTGATCCTTCAGCACTTGGCAACACGCCCTGCATTTGACCTTCTGCTTGAACTGGTCGCTGCACTGGGTCGTGAGCCACTCTGGTCGGTGCCCAGCGGTACCTGGGTCCAGGATCGGCTGCTTCTCCATGTGCTTGAACTTTTGCTTGTCGTGGACGCGGCACTTGATTTTCGCGGTCTGCCCGTGAACCTGGTCCTGAATAGCGGCAGTTCCTCGCATCGGTGCCGATGACGCCGAGCTGGCATGGGATGGCGGGCGTGCCATGATTGAAGTCGTTGGGCTTGACACGCCCTTCGGCTTGCATGTGCCTTTGCCTTTCGCTTTGACGAAGACCTCATCGCCCGCGTCATTTTGCAGCCATCCTCGCGCGCTCCCCTCGTTGGAAAAAGCCGCCAGAAACGCCGGGAATGACTTGCCATCTCCTCGGGCCGACGGCGTCGGCTGTCCTTGATGCCTGAGCGCCTCGCGAACTCGCGGCCCGCACTCGCGCTGGACCAGCGTCATGCGACCAGCTGCGCGCACCGCCATGGCTGCCGCCGCTGATCGCGCGGTAGCTGGTGTCGTCAGCCGTCCAAGTGATTACCATGCGCCACTCGAGGTGCAGCTAGGATCCAACTTTGGCCATCTTACCTCCGCATCGCACGCTGGCCAGCGCCTGGTCGTTATAAGTTTGAACCCCCGTTGCGTACTGCTGCCGCGCTGGTCTGACTCGCGCGGGGCACGCGGCCGCGACGTGGCGCGCGCCCTTCACCTGGCTCTTCATGTCGGCAACCGCTCGATCAGCCTTCAGATCCTCGGCGAGCCCGCAGTAACCCGTCCTCAAAAAAACGCATGTAGTCAGATGCGCGAGCGCCGCTTCTGATCAGACAGTCTGCCAACATCATCCAAGTGTTTACCAACTTGGAGACCAGATTCCGTTCTCGGCGTCATTGAGAAAAGCCTCGAGGTCGAACAGTAGCCTGCCTTCGCAAGGAATCGTGCCACGCGTCTGCAGCAAGTCTGAGAGATTGTCAATCAATCAAGCGCACCATCTTGATGTTCGCGGGTGCTACGAACAACTCGTTTGATACGATGTGATATCCACATCATCGGCGTTACCTTCGCAGGTCCGCCTCGAATAAGCTCGTCATCCAAGTTGTCGGCCGTCAAAATGTCGAGCCCGGCATGAATGGCCGTCTTACTATGCCCCGCGATCCCGAAGCTGGAACCGCCAATCGCGACCACCACCCCAATGGTCAGGTCGATGTCTCGGCAGATGATTCGCCCGGTACGTATGCGCGTCCTCGATTTCATCATCGTGTTGATCTGCATAACGTCCGGTTCACTACCCTCAGGGTCGCGTGCTCGCGTCTGGCTTTCAACCAACTGAAGTGCGAGATCCATCCTCGTCAATCCGACTAACCACTGTACTTGCCCGATAACTCGATGCATCGCTCGACGTGCCCCTGCCGTGATCGTGGTCTCCTCCTGCTTGCCTCGCGCCTCGCGATGCGCATATCGGCATTCGCTCGACGCCCTCCGCGCAATCCTTCCGGGCGCCAGAAATGCGGCCCTGGACGTTCCGTTTGAGGCACCCCCCGCAGCGGTAACAACCCTATTCGATGCAACGCCACTTGCCGCAGCAGTGCGCCTTGCTCCGCGCTGCGACCTGGTTATTGAACAACTCCTGGGGTCCAGCAATCATCTCGAGCGCGAGAGATACCAGTACCCTTACCTAGACAGGGTGGCAAGGGGCCGGGGGGGGGGGCGGTTCGTCGCAGCTGACGGCGGCTGCACAAGTGTAGAAACGACAGCCGATCGAGCATTGCAGACCGCTGTCTTCTCGGGGCGCACGTTAGAGCCGATCGCACGTGCGTTCGAATCGGCGGAGCGCCCGACCCTGCGTTGGTTGTTGTCGACGTAGACCAGCTACTGCGGAGGCGCGCCCCCAGACACACATCCGGGCGTTGAGGAGACAACGCGCACTCGGGGGCGCATGCGAACACAACTCTGGCGCGAACGTCATTGCGCGACAACCGCCCTATCGCGAATTGCTCGATGCAGAGACATCGCGAGTCTGTACCCTGGGCGAGGTCGCCAGAGGCCGCCCCCGTTGGACGGCCGTCTGCGGATGGATCACCCCAGCCAAGTACGGTTGCCCCATGAAAAACCAAAAACATACCCGCACCTAGCCGGGGTGCCGCAGCTCACCCCAGCTAAGTCCGGATATGTTTCGGTGGTTTCAGGCAGGTCCCCGTACCTACCCGAGGTGGCGGCAGGCCCAAAACGCGCTCGAGCACATATCATGCCCCCCAGAGCCGCCCCCGACGTGGCCGCTGCGGCCCCCTGGGGGCGCGAAGTTGCAACGTCGTCCCACAGGGCAGGCCCAGACGCATTGGTTGCCAGGATAGCGAGGAAATGCAACTCTTTATCGATTGGGGCAGGCGCCGCCACACATGGGCGGCTTTGACCCGCGCACGCACCACAATGCCCCGAGACGTCCCTAACAAAAACAAGCACTTGTCGCTGCAATCAGACACCCAACCATCGAGCGCGCCGTTGCGTCTTGACGCGCGGATGCTGCACTGGCGCGCGCGGGGCAAGCTGACCGGGCACAACAGCAAGCGCCCAGTCCCCCTGACGGCCCATCTCACCTTGGCTGGCCCCGGGTACGGGTATCTTTCGGACCAATGAAATCAGGTCCTCGCCCACGCGCGCGCCGACGAGCGCGATCACCTTTCCCGACTCGACACTAGAGTAACTGGTCATCGCTAGGATCTCGTAGCTCCCTGAAGTGAGAATGGTGCCGCGAGGCCCCTCGCGCCATAGCAGCTGTGAGTTGAGTCCGTAGATGTCCTTCCTGTCTTGCAAATCGCATCTCCGCGGGTGCGTGGGGCCATCCCAGCTCGGGCGCCGAAGGTAGTCCGCCCTTCGGGGCCTTGAAGAACGTGCGCCTTGTCTTGTCCAGGTAACGGCCGCTCAGAAAAGCTGAATCCACGTCCCCCTGCTCGACTGTCCAATCGGGGTTGCTCGCTGTCTCCTGCAATTTGGCTGTCGCCGCGTCTGTCAGCCCGGGCGCAATCGTCTGCAAACCGACTGCTAGGAGCTGCTTATCCGCGCATCCAGGCACGATCTTCCTCGCCCTGGCCTGCACAGAGGTTTCGCCGAACGACAGGTCCCCACGCGTTGCTTCATATTCCTGTCGGTGTAAAACTGAGGCATAGGCAGTACCTCGGATGAGTCGATCGTCTTGAAAACTTTATCCGTCGGGATTGTCACCGTGTCGTACTTGATCCACTTGACACAGTCGGCCTTGTCGGATGCCTCGAAGGCCGACTTCCACTCGGCAGGGAGGTGTCGGAACTCACTGCCCTTCCTGGCCAAAGGCTGCTTGCTTCTGGCCATCTCGGTCTGGCTCGCAATCAAAGCATCGCGGGTCCGGTTCTGGACGCAGAAGGCGAGGTCTCCGTCGTCGCTCGTGTCATCCATGGGGGCATGTCGGGCCTCGTACCGCGCGCAGCTCCATGCAGTGGTTCATCCGCTGCCTGCCCAGATCGCATGTCCTCCATGAGTGGCCGTTTCCGATCATGTCCCGCTTCTGCAACGGGAGCTGGCGTCGGCACGCTCAACAGTCCTGGCGGGCTCAACTGTCCAGGGTGTCCTGGCGCTGCGGAGTGCGTCGGCGGCGCTTCCGAATTAGGCCCCAGTCCAGCTGCTTCGGCGGGTGGCCTGGGTATTCCGGGTACAGCGGGTAGGTCGCGCACCTGGTCCTCGGGTATATCGCTGATGACGGAATGCTTATCGAGGTCGGAGCTTGTGGTTCTACGCGTCAAGCAAGTGCTGGTAGTGGTAGGCCACGTCGAGGTGCCACTGATCTCGGCGGCGACGTCTGAAGTGGCATGCTGTTCTCCATCTCGACGCCCTCCTCAGCTCCGCCACTCGCGTCGCCAACCTGATGCGGGGGGTCGCCCCCGTCCGCCCACAAAACCTTGCTGCATGGTAGACCCACCCCTTCACTGATCTAACTGCTCCACCAAATCTTCATGTTCGATCATGCCCGACTCGGACCGGCTCGCGCGTCGGAGCTGTTGAGGTGCGATGAGCACTGGTGCTCCAAGCCACGACGTGCGTGGCCTGGCACTCCATGCCACGACACGTGTAGCCCGGTGCTCCACGATACGATGTGTAACCCTCTCCAACCACGTTCATCCTGCAGTCGTTTCGATTTGATGTGCTTCACCTCCCGCCAGTCGAATCCCACTTGCCCTGGCGGGGATGTTCCTCGCGGCGGTCGAACTCGCCTCAGAGCAGCTCGTGGAATCGCATCGTCGCCATCCAGTCTGATAACTGACCCGCTGGCAGCTGCGCGCATCTGCTATGCCCGCCGGGGCCCTGGCTCGAATGGCGCTGCGGTTTCCGCCGAAAGCCTCGTCTTGGAGCTCTCCATCGCGCGCTGGCAGGGCGCGAGGCCATTCCGCTTGATATCGACGAATCGCTGGGCTCGACGCCTGAAACTTCTGCTCGCATACGAAGATCACGGTCGAGACGTCGCTATCCAGCCTCACCGCCTCCGAAGGCCTGCTGAAAGCCCATTCCGTCGCCCTTCGCGCTCTGGGCGCGAGCGACCCGGCCGTCGCCCTTCGCGCTCGAGCTGGACGTGGATTAGGTCGCTGCGCGGGTAGAACCCCCGGGCGCCCTCGCCGTCGTCACTCGCCTTGCCCGGCCCGCGCCCGACGGAGCCCCCCCTGTCGGCGAGCTCGCGCGCGGCCTCGCTGACCGCGGCGCGGGCAAGCAACTCCGGCCGTGCCCCGGCGGCAGCTGCGCTATGCTTCCCGCGACCTACCGCGCCAGCACGGCGGCGCGACCTGTCGCACTTCACTGAGAGCCGCCGCTTGAAACAACTATCCTTCGGCACCGGCATCACAGTGGGCAAATTGATCAGCTCGCCCTCGGAGGCGACGAGTTTGCGCGCGCACTGGCCCAGCCGAATCGGCCCGCACTTTGCGCCGCCCCGCGCGCACAGTTCTCGGGCGTCGTCTTCGCTCCGCGCCGGCCCCAGTAGCCCCCCCGACGTCTGCGATTCCAGCGCGCGTCTCGCGAACGTCAGGCGCGGCGTCGCCGTGATCGGCAGCCCGCCCGCCCGGCGCGATGGCCCCGGTGCCCAGGCGAGCTCCCGCACATTCGAATGCCGTCTGCATGGGAGCGAGCGCGTCGCCAGCCATGGCTTGAGTTCTTGATGACCAGTAGCCTATCGCCCTGCATATCGGGGTCGGCGAAATTGACGCCAGCGCCGAGATCCGAGGGCGCTGCGTCACGACGTCCTCCCGCTGCGCCGACCATCGCCAGCTGGGCCGCGTTAGCGCGCAACTCCCACGCAGGAGTAGTCGCGCCATCCAGTGGCATCTCGGATCTCACCGCGCATTCCTTCGCCCGCCCCACGACGCGCTCGATGGCCGGCATCGCGGGAGCACCGCGCCGCCCTTCGCGCGCTGACTCCGACAAACAGGCATCGCGCGCGATCGTTTCGCTCGGCCCCTCGGCCCCGCGCTCGCTGCGGCACGCGATGTTCGACAGCATTACCTCCTTAGTCGAGGCGGGCTGGTCGATCTGACATCATGGAAGGTCGGGTCGTCGAGGTAATCTTCGCGGTCGTAGTCGAAGATGTCGAGGCCCGCGCGTCCTGGGGGCTCCCTGAAAGCCCCCTGTGGCACGTTTCCAGGTCCTCGAAATCTGCCCATTGACCTTCTCGACACCTGCAGAAGACCGTTTTCTTCCAGTCTCCCGTGTCGCAGCGGCCGGGGAATCCGATTATCTCACGGGGGATCGCGCAATACCTCTGGGTCAGATGCTCTTTGCAGACGCCGGCTGGGGCGATCCACTGCTCTGCGGCCCGTAGACTGGCGCCCTCCTAGCCCGCGAACTGAAGATCGGCCTCGATCACCAGAGTACGTAGGCCATATCGTTGGAGGCCTGCGTCCTCTGGTGCCACCTTGGCAACCCATTCCAGGCCTGCCACGCGCGCGCTAACTGCCGAGTCCTTCAGCGAGCTAGGCGCCTTGGATTCGCCGAACACAATTTCCTCGACTTGTGGCATTTCGATCTCGATTGCCGCGTGGATCTCCACGTCAATCTCAAATTCGCCCATGAATCCAACTCGTGGCGACGCTGTGCCTGGGTGGCCCTGGCCGATCTTCTAGAGTGCGTTCTGGTAGAACCTCGCAGTCGGTATACGAGGGTCCGCGCACCGAAGGGTGACCGACCCGATAAACCACGTGCCGAGACGATTCTTCCGCGAGGCACCTTCGATTTACCCTTGCGATGTGCCCCTTCTTTTGGTCGCCGTTTGCTGGGCGTGAATTTAATTCCGTGGCCGCGGTCGATGCACTTGCACTCGACACAGTTGCACCCGCTGCGCCTCTTTTTCTCGAACCTTTGGACTTCCCCCGCCCGCCGCCGAACTCGCCGCTCGGTTAACTCCTGATGCCGCGCTCCCGTCCAGCACTCCGTCGATCTTGCGCTTGAAGAACCCCATGCCGCCCTCATATTGTTCACCTTTTTCCTCTCGACTCGCGCAGTGTCGCCAGCACCTGCTCGTACTCGGGATCCTGGTCGGGGGGAGCTCCGGTCGGTCCATCTTCGATGGCGAAGGCCTCTTTACCCATATAGTCGTAGCCGCCCAGCGTCATTGTGGCGTAGTCCTGGCTCACGTAGGCGCCGGATCTGCGCTCCAATCGTGCCAATAGCCGTCGCTGTCTTAAGTCCAGTACGATTCCTCGTTGTAGTCACCACCGGCCTCCTCGTCGCACTGGCCGTCGTCGACGTCCTCGCAATAGGCCCACCATCTCGGTGGCTCTCGAAGCCGGGTGTCCTGCTGCCGATGTCTGGGACCTGCTGGGGACATGTTCTTCTCGTTCCGGTCTATACCTGATTTCTCGACCGTCCAGTAGCCTACCTGGTTGTCGCTGATCTTCGTTCCGCGAACGATCTTCTCCAGGTAAGCCACTTCCATCGCCGTACAGAATGCCACAATGGGTCCGGTTCCGCGCTTCTCGAACTGCGCATCCTTGCGGCAGATCTCTGAATTCTGGCTTGCTGAACCTCGAGTGCTCCAGAAACTGCAACAGCTGAGTCGCTCCATCTTCTTTATCGTAGTCCGCACGGTCCTGCTGCTCGACTGGCACTGAGATGCTGTTGATGACCAGCAAATTCTTATATTATTTGGGACCCCGCGATAGTTTCTCCCTGTCATCCTGGCCAGACAGAATGCGATCCTCAACCGAACCCTTGTGCTTGGCAAAATCCTTCTGACTCTCGCCCGTCAGCGATGCGACCTTCGGGCCCACGCCTGATGCGCAGTCCATCGTATCGTAATCCGTGAGGGTGGCCAGGCCCGAGTATCTATATATAACTATACATGTATATGTATATCTGTAGAATATGACCATGTACAAGAGGGGGCCATCCTCTTGCCCTGCTACCGGCCTCGATACTCCTCGAATCACCACTGGACACCGAAGGGGCCCATGGAGTCCGAGAGGAGCATGGTGATCTGGCAGTCGTCGCAGTGTCCTCGCTGTCGCCGCCCGACAAGCGCAGAAACGTCCATTGAACGCATCATGGACTGCACGTGCGCACAACAGTGTACAAGAGCATTTCTGATCACAATCGTCACCATCGCCCAAATAATCATAAGAGTCACCATCATCATCATCACCATCATCATCATCATCATCATCATCATCATCATCATCATCATCACACGTTGCATCATCATCAGCAGCATCATCATCCCACCACCACCATCACCTTCAGCATCATCACCATCACCACCATCATCATAATGAGCATCGTCGTCATCGTCACAATCATCGTCATCACCACAAGCATGGTACCCTTCCTGATCATCGTCCGCATTATCATCCCCATCACCATGAGAATCCACATCCTCGAAATGTAACTCATCCTCCTTAGAATGACTCTCCCAACCATCGACATCCTTATCATTAACATTATCGTCACCGTGATCATCAAAACTACCATCATCATTCTCGTCGTCATAATCACCGCGGTCATCACAATCATCATCGTTTAACATCATCACCATCACCACCATATACATCCTGATCCGTGTCCTCATCCTCATTCGCATCCGCAGTATCGTCCTCCTCGTCAACTTCCTCATCACTGAATTTACCCACCATGAGCATCAGCGTCATCAACATCATACTCCTCCTCATCATCACCATCACCAGCACCATCGCCATCATCACCATCAGCCGCATCAACAGCATCATCGTCATCAGCATCATCAGCATACGCATCATCGTCATCATCACCCTCCTCATCCGAATCAACATCCCCATCACAAACAATATCTTTACCAGCAGCATCATCACCATCAGTATCATCAGCATCGATATCGTGGTCGTCATCATCATCACCACCACCTGGATACCCATCATCATCCTCATCCTGCTGCCCATCATCAT